GAACCAGGTCTACTATATGTACAGAACTATCACTACAGATCTAACAGAACCAGGTCTACTATATGTATCATTATAGATCGAACACCATCAGCTTTACAATAAAACAGGCATATTAACCTGTAATTCTCTTTAAATGCTTTTTTGCATATATTACTGAATAGAGGTGTTGTTGTTTTGTCATCTTTCTCTCCACATCCATGAAGAAAGGCCAGCCTGTCTCGAGGGAGTTCCTCAGCTGTTACACTTTCAGCTCATCTGTTCCAAAGATCTACAAATAAACTTTTGACTCTGAATCCTGTAGGAATCTTCAGGTTCTACTTGGTCTTTAAAACTAAGCCTTTATTATTATTCCTTGAACAGATTTTAAAATGTCAGAAACCTATTTATACTTTAAGCTGCTTATTTTAAAGGTTTGATTAGCGGATCTCGTGAAAGGTGTCTCACAGTATTGTTTTGTAGTTTTCTTCTTAAACTTAAGTTTAATAATACAGATTTAACTCTGTTTAAGCAACAATACAGCCGTAAAACACGGGACTCCGTCTAAGAGATTTCAATAAGTTTCTTTGTGGGTGTATATACGACTTGGAAGAACCTTTAAACACGTGTTTGTAGCTTAGTTTTTCTGTAACAGAATAGCAAATCCCGCAGATAACTAACTAGAAGCGTTTCGCAAAGGTCAATATATCTTTCTCTTTAACTTCAACAACACTTTGTTCTGAGCTGTAGTAAAGTTCGGGCTGACGTAATGAGGTGCATTTTTGTGTTTTACGTCACGGTGTTAAACGACGAATATATAGGCCCAATATTTATTATAACAAATCTCGCTAAGCTACAGATGACTTTTTTTTTTCATTTAGTCATGTAACACTGCAGCATTAAGTTTCCCGTATTACATTAAAAATAGCATTTTAGATAGACTTTTGGCAGTCATTTTGGTCGAGCTCAACAGACCAGGCTTCTTGGGCAGCGGTTCGTATACATAAAACAGATTCGACATTCGTAATAACGAGGACTGTGGGAAAAGAAAGCTACGGCGATCACAAATGTTAGGCTTATCGGTTTGTATTAGGTTTAACTGATCGCAGATTGTGTTAGACTTTTGGCAGTCATTTTGGTCGAGCTCAACATACCAGGCTTCTTGGGCAGCGGTTCGTATACATAAAACAGATTC